TATTTATTTATTTATTTATTTATTTATGTATTTTATTTATTTATTTATTTATTTATTTATTTTATTTGTTTATTTGTTTATTTGTTTGTTTGTTTGTATCTATGTTTATTTATTTATTTATTTATTTTATTAGTGCATTCATTTATGTGGTTTAGTGTTTAGGGTTTTTCGTTTATTTATTTATTTATTTATTTATTTATGTATTTATTTGTTTATTTATTTATTTATTTATTTATCTATTTATTTATTTGTTTGCTTATTTATTTATTTATTTGTTTATTTATTTATTTATTTATTTTTTTGTTTATTTGTTTATTTGTTCCTTTTTGTTTGTTTAGTTATTTTTCTGTCTCTTTTGTTTGTTTTCTGTTTCCCTTGTCTCTGCATACACCCCAATTAAATTATATTTATTTATTTATTTATTTATTTATTTTTTTGTTTTTTTTTATATTTTTTTGTCTCCTGTATTTTTTGTCTCCTTTCTTCTCCCCCCTCATATCTGTCTCTGTCTCTTTTTATATAAACAAAAAAAAAATAAAAAAGCAATAAATAATTAATTTATTTTTTATTTTTATTTGATTTGTTTTTTTCTTTTCTCTTTTGTCTCTCCTTGCCTTGACGCGCTGTCTCTGCTGCAGCTGCTGCTGCTGCTGCTGTTGCTGCTGCAGCTGCAGCAGCAGCAGCAGCTGCTGCTGTTGCTGCTGCTGTTCTTTTGTTTGTATTTCTGTTTTCTCATTCCCTTTTTCTTCATTCGTGCTGCTGCTGCGTCTTGCTGCTGCTTCTGCTGTTTCTGCTGCTGCTGCTGTTGCTGCTGCTGCTGCTGCTGCTGTTGCTGTTGCTGTTGCTGGTGCTGGTGCTGGTGCTGCTGCTGCTGCTGCTGCTGCTGCTGCTGCTGCAGGTTGATCGAATGGATGCGCTGTTTGACGTTACATTTACGGCTCTCTCAGCTTCAGGTTTGTCTCCTTTTTTTCTCTTTTTGTTTTTTTTCTGTCTCCTTTGTTTTTCTTTTTTTCTCTCTTTGTTTTTTTTTGTCTCCTTTGTTCTTTTCTTTTTTTCTCTTTTTGTTTTTTTTTTGTCTCCTTTGTGTCTCTCTTTGTCTGATTCACTACTTTAATCCTTTTGTTTTCTTCTATTAAATTATCTATACTTACGTATACATATAA